GTAGCGCCGTTCGGTTGGTGGGAGCTCACCCCCGTCACTGACCAGAACGTGCGCGTCCTGTGTCAACACCTGCTGACCCAGGGAGTCCAGGTGTGCGCCGTTACCGGCCTCGCTGCGGGACTCGCCCCTGGGTCCCTCCAGGGTGCCCACGGCCATGCCTCGCGATGCTCCCCCTGCCCTCCTTCTTCCCCCTCTGCCTCCCTCCATGGCTGCCTGGATTGGGCAGTGCAGGTTTGGCGCACCCCTGCTGACGTCTCGCCGCGAGCGGGCGTTGCGACGACGCCGGTGTCTCCCGTCGCATCGCCAGGACCGGCTGGCGTTACGACGGATTCGGTTTTTTTGCAGCATCGGCGGAGCGTGCAGCATTGCCGTGCTGCCACCGCGTGCCCCGCTGCCCCCTCCTGCCCTCTCCTCTCCCCTCCTCCTTCCTTCTTCCCCTGCCTCCTGCCTCGCCTCGTTTTCCCCTCCCCGTCGTCGTCGTCGTCGTCGCCGTCGTTGTCGCCGCCGGCGTCGGCGTCGCCGCCGTCGTCGTCCTCGTCGTGGTTGTGTGGGGCGCCACACGTTCAGGTGTGATGGCTTGGTTGTGCACACACACATGGGTGGCTCAAACACGCGCTCTCACCCACCCGCGTTCCCACATGCTCACGTGAGCCTTGTGCGGATTCGCGAGGTGCAGGTGCGCCCCATCACGCCACCCGGAACCGACTGACAGCTTTCCACGCCGAGACAGCGCGCACACAGCACGGGCTGCACGCTGCGCCGGCTGCAGCTCCGTGGTTGTCTTGCGTCGCGTGTGTTTGTGCGCAGGTTGGCTCCACCAGTGCGGGGAAGGGGCCGGTCCTGGCGGTTGGGTGCTATCAAGAGCGGCGTGCGGGGTGCGTATTTTGGTGTTGGGTGGCTGCACAGCGGACCGTGCCCCACCCACGTACTTCCCCCTCACACACCGCCGCCTGCATCATTTGCCTTGGCGCGCGGTTTGGGTTGAGACGGTGTGAAGATACGGCGTCCTGCATTAGGCGGGGGAACGAACGAACGCACACACACACACACACCACAACACAACACAACACAACACAACGCAAACACAACACAACACAACACAACACAACACAACAACACAACACACACACACAACACACAACACAACACACACACAACAACACACACACAACACACACAACACAACACACACCACACCACACCACACCACACACACACACACACACAAGCACACACACACACCACACACACGCACACACGCACGCACGCACGCACGCACGCACGCACGCACGCACGCACGACCGCCCGCCGCCCCGCCCCGCCCGCCCGCCCGCCCGCCGCCGCCGCCCGCCGGCCCGCCCGCCCGCCCGCCCGCCCGCCCGCCCGCCCGCCTTCCCGCCCGCGCACACACACACACGCACACACACACACACACACAGAGACACACACAGAGACACACACACACACACACACACGCGCTCGCGCGCACACGCAGGCACGCACGCACGCACGCACGCACGCACGCACGCAAGCACGCACGCACGCACGCACTCTCTCTCTCACACACATTCACACATTTTCACACACACACACACCACACACACACATCACACACAGACACACACACACACCACACATCACACCCACACGCCCACACACCTCACATCGCAGGCCCAGGGGCAGGGTTCGTATGCGGCCCCCTCCCAGTTCGACACACCCCACATCTGTTTCGCGGCCCCACAGGGAGCTCCACGGAAGGCCCCAATGGCAGGGTTCGCATGCGCTTCCCCGCCCATGCCGGCACACCCTTCACACGCTTCGTGGCTTCATAGGCCAGTGGCAGGGTTCACACGTTTCGTGTCCACCGACGGCCTCAGTGGCAGGGTTCGCATGCGTTTCCCCGCCCATGTCGGCATTCACCATCACACGTTTCGTGGCCCCATCGGGAGCTCCACCGAAGGCCTCAGTTGCAGGGTTCGCATTCGTTTCTTCGCCCATTTCGACACACCCCTCACACGCTTCGCGGCTCCATAGAGAGCCTCACCGAAGGCCCCAGTGGCAGGGTTCGCATGCGATTCCCCGCCCATTCCGACATCCCTGGCACGTTCCGTGGCCCCTTGGGGAGTTCCACCGGTGGCCTCAGAGGCAGGGTTCGCATGCGGTTCCCCGCCCATGTCGGCACACCCCTCACACGCTTCGTTGCCCCAGGGGGGGCGCGCCCGGACAACCGACGGGCCAGACGGAGCCGAAGCGGACTTAGGGGTTGGGTGGGAAAGAAGAGAGAAGGGGAGTCAAAAGCCGCGGGATGCGATTACAACGGCGAATGGGTAGGACCCGCAGTTACCATGAGTTGTCATCGGAGATGGACGGTGAGGAGGTTCAGTTGTATATCGAACAGGTGTTGCAGCAGCAGTTGGCATCGGATCTGGGCGGCAGCTGCAGCAGTAGGAGCGGTGGCTGCGTCGTGCCACCGCTAGGACGCGTGTGGCCAGACTCTCGTGTTCTCTGGACACACTGTTCAGTTTTAATTATTCCAGAGGTCTTCGATTTTTTGGGGGGCAAGATCCTGTCATTTCTAATTGTTCTATCCTGGGCCTCTTCCTGGACACCGGGGGGCCAGGAACAGTTAGAAACGAGCACACCTGGGAATGAACACGATGAGAAATGAACGACGTGTAGGCTTGAGCATGGCGTAGTCCGCGGCTTCACTTTGCCCACGCGGGCCGCAGACCGTGCTCTTGGGGGTCGCCCCCCGCCGCGCGCGCCTTGTTTGGACCGCCCCTCTCGCAGTATGAGCGGACGGCGGGGGCTGGTGCGCACCCGACAGGGCAGGGGCCCCCGCCCTCGTCGTCGGCGCCCCCCCTCCCTGCCGCGCAGCATGCCCTCTGCTCCGGGGGGCCCCGAGCACTGGAGGGCGGGCCGGCCCTCGGGGCGGGAGGGGGCGGGCGGAGGCTGTGAAGACGAGGGGTGCTCGGCAGGACAGGCGGCTGCAGGACTGCACGTGGTTCGATTCTAGGTCTTCGAGAGGTCTTTGTTTTTTTGGGGGGGGCAAGATGCTCTCATTTCTAACTGCTCTGTCCTGGGCCTCTTCCTTGCCACTGGGGGGCCAAGAACAAGTAGAATCGAGCACGATTGGAAATGAACACGATTAGAAGTGAAGGACGTGTACCTCCATCAACCGTAAGCAGCAGCAGCAGCAGGCAGAAGCCGGGGGGTTGCTGCAGGTGCCCCCCCAGTTCTTCGCCCAACTTTGGGTCCCCCTGGGGCCCCCTGGGGCCCCCTGGGCCGCGCGGGCCTCGTGAGGGGGTGCTCCGGAGGCCGCGGGGGGGCCTCCTCGAACATCCTGGGGGCACCTTGGGCCAGGGGGGCACTGCCAGCAACACCCGAAGCAGGGGCGAGGTGCCCTTGTCGCGCGCCGCCCTCGCAGGGGAGAGAGTGCCCGGGGCCCAGGGGTAGGATGATGGCCCCGATGCTTGGTTGGAGCCGACTGGGGGGCTGAGCGTATTTGTCCTCGCGTATTTGAGCGTGTTTGGCCTCCCCCCTCGTGACCGAGGGGCCCAGTCAGCCCAGACCCCCTGGCCGCTTCAAACTTTCTGGCTCTCTTGTCTTTGCCCCGAGGCCTTCTTCGGGCTCGCTGCATCTTGTCAGCAGCAAGCGTTCGCGGCGAGACATCCATAGTTAGGCTAGGCCTCCAGGCCAGCCCAACGCCAAATTCCGGCTGTCAGTTCGAGGGAGCAACGCCCTAAACCGCAAAGGAAGCAAAGGCGAGACATCCGCATGATTGATTGGCTTCCGGGGTGTCGGAGCGCCACGCGAGCCTTGGCGAACCCCCATCGTCCGCCGTGCAGAGAACGTGTGATCGGCGATTTGGGGGGACGGGCGGGCGGCACTGCGCTGATGGTTCTGCCAGACCTTAGGGTAACAAAAAGTAGCATAGAAATAACAACTCGGAGGTCCGCGCGGATTTCTCGGATCGGCGCTGGACCCCCCTCCCTGGCGCGCGGAGCGCGCCAGGTGCGGCGCCGGAGGCGCCGCCGGGGGGGCCCCAGCGCCGATCCGAGAATTCCGCGGAGACCTCAGAGTTTTTATGCTTATGTCACTTGTTGTTCCCCTTCGGATGCGGGCAAGACGTGGATCCGTGTGCACTGCACCTGGCAGCTGCAGGCTCCCGTCCCCAGACACCTCGGGCGCAGCGGATACTCGTGAGGACCTGGCCCCTGGAGGCGACCAGACCCACTATTTTTATCAGTATTTGTTGTGTCAATTTTTGAATATTTTTTGAGTATTTGGGAGGGGTGATGACCAGGGGGCGGCCACGAGAGGTGAGGGGATGTGGGGCATCTGGGGCCCGCCGGCCGCATCCGTCGGCGCGCTGTGGGGCAGACGAGGGGGGTGCCTCCCCCCCCCTCCTCCTCATCCTCCTCCTCCTCCTCCTCCTCCTCCTCCTCCTCCTACAAGTGGACGTTCGCTCCTCCTCCTCTTCCTCCTCCTCCTCCTCCTCCTCCTCCTTGGATGCCTCCCCAGCGTCTCGCGACGAGCACGCTTTGGGTGGCTGCGCCGGCGCGGCCGCGCGCGCACGCGGTCCGCGGGTGGCATCGGGGGGTCCCAGAGAGACAAGCGCCGGGAAAGGGGCGGAGGAAAGGATGAGGAAGGAGAGGCGGCATCATAACTTCCGGACCTCCGCGCGGATTCCTTGGATCGGCGCTGGGCCCCCCCTGGCGACGCCTCTGCCGCCGCCTCCTTGGGGCGCGCCCGGGAGGGGGGGCCCAGCGCCGATCCGAGAGATGTCTGCGCGGATTTCCAGAAGCTTGTGCTTATGCAGTTGTTCTCCTTCGAACTTCACAGCAGCAGGATGCGGATCATGTCCTAAGCCATGTGGGGTGCTCCAGGGAATGCCTCGCCTCCGAGGATCGAACGAGTTGCCATCTCTTCATCGGCGGAAGGCAGGCGGAAGTCTGGCGGAATCCCAAAAAATGCGCACCCAAGAGATGGCAACCTTTTTGGGTGAAGGGCTTCTGGAATCGGTCCTGTTGCACATGTGGGCACGCCAGGCTTCCCTCGCGGGCCGCAGGGGAGGGCGCAGCCGTCGAGTGTGGCGCGGGCGCGCTTGGGGCGTGGCGTAATGGGGGGGTCATAAATGGGGGGGGGTGGCGAGGGTGGTCCGAAAAGGTAGCCAAACGGTAGCTAAACGAGCCCCCTGGGGCTGCGGTGGGCACGAAAGGGGACCGTTTCTCACACCCCCATGCATGCCCCCACCCATTATCAGGAGGGAAAAAAACCCACAGACACAATCAATCGTCGATTCCCCAGAAAATATGGGAAAATATGGGCAGTGGGGGGGAAGACAGAAACCCAGTGTATTTATTAGTGTGCTCTGGGGCCCCTTCGTATTAAACCACGCCCAAGCGCCCCCCTCCCCCCCCCGGAGGTCGACGCGTCGCCGCCGGGGCCCAGCGCGGCGACGCCAGTGGCGCAGGCACCGCCGGTGAGCCCGGGCCACGGGCGGGCCCACTCGGGCCTCCCAGATGGGGTCCTCTTCATCCACCTCCTCCTCCTCCTCCTCCTCGTCATCATCATCATCATCATCATCATCATCATCATCATCGTCATCATCATCATCGTCATCATCATCATCATCATCATCATCAGCATCATCATCATCATCAGCATCATCATCATCAGTTTCATCATCATCATCATCAGCATCATCATCATCATCATCATCATCATCATCATCATCATCATCAGCATCATCATCATCCTCATTACCCCTCCTCCTCATTCCCCCTCCTCTTCCTCCCCGCCGGTGGCGCAGGCACCGCCGGTGAGCCAGGGGCCACGGGCGGACCCCACTCAGGACTGGAGATGCACCGAGCTTTCGGCGTCGAGGACCGATCGGGTCTTCGGACATTTGCGTCGGTTCTCGGCGGTTTGGCAGCTTCCGGGTGGGTTCCAGCAGCGCCGCCTCGCCGCGAGCCTTCCGGGGGCGCCCGGGATCGTCCCGAGCGGCTGCCGGAGAGCCGAGGTCTGACCCGAAAGCCAGGCCTCCCAGACGGGGTCCGACTGCGTGTGGTCGGAGGATCGCGCTGCATCGCCGATGGAAGCGATTTTCTCCACGCCGACGTCGCCGATGTATCGCTGACGTCGCCGGGCGCATCGCCGACGCACGGCGATGCGGCGCGACCCCGAACTCATCTTCTCCGACCCCATCTGGGAGGTTCTTTCCAAGAGCTCAAGCAGTGGCGAAGCGTCCTTGCCTGCCTATAGGCCTACCAAACCATGTTCTAAGAACCTTACCTTCTGTGGTTTCCACGAAATGTTTTTCGAACATTTCTGGCCGGGACCGTCTTGTTTTAACACATCGGGTTTATGTTCTACGACCATTGTTTTTAGTCTTAGAACATGTTCGGCTTCTAGGAAAATTTCGTGGTAGGCCTATAGGAATGCCGGTACGGTCGGTCCCTGCTCAATGAGCCTTACGCCATTTTGCCGACACCCACAAGATGGAAGAAGTCTACGGCTGAGGCCTTCAAGGCTTCTTGGCGAACTTCGGGGGGCCTCTATTGGGTCTTTGTGGGGCATCTTTGGGCCTGTTGGGTGTTGCTTGTGGCGCGGCAGGAACACAAGAGTGGCGACCACCGGAAACACCATTTGAAGAAGGTGAGGGCGGTGGTGTGGAAGGACTGCGCGCAGAAAGGACTCACGACGAGATTTTAGGAGGCGTTTGGATGCGCGGGCCCATGTGGCAAGAGGCTACATCAGAGCGCTTTTCCTAAGCGCGGCAACAATTTCGCAATCATCGTTCGGCAAGGAACTTTGAAGTGCGCCTAGGGTCGCACCCTGTGACGTTGAGGTGGACGCGATGCAGGGCCCTGGCGTGAACCTGAGGCCGCGTCTGGGAAGGATAATGGGTCAGCGTGCCTCTACGCGTCTGGTGGGTGCGTTTGCAGCCCTGCCGAGGTTGAGGATTTGCGGGCCTCCAGACAGTGTCAAAGAGCATGGGGGACGCGTAGATTTGCGCGCAAAAGTGGAACGAGGGCGAGGAGGAGGAGGAGAAGGAGAGGAGGAGGAGGAGGAGGTGGAGGAGGAAGAGATAGAGGAGATAGAGGAGGAGGAGGCGACGAAGCAGGAAGCGAGAACGACGAGGACCACGCGCAGGACACAACAGAAGACGAGAAGGAGGAATAAGAGGTGGGGGGGTGCAACCGAGGGAAAGACACGGCGACGAGGAGGAAGACGCGCAGGGTGAACACGAGGAGGGGACGGCACGGCTCGACGGTCCGATGTGAGCTGGCATGTGCATTTTTTTAGCCGCGGTGCGGGGTCGGAAGCTCGGACAAGCAAGCGTGATGGGCCCATGTTCCACCATCATTACCATAGGTAGGACGGGGGATAGGGGCGCCTCTTCCTTCTCCTCCTCCTCCACCATCTCCTCCTCATCCTCCTCACTCTCGTACCTATGGCCTGTGGTAGTGGTGGTGGAACATCGTCCCGTCAACGCAGTGAACACAATGGAACACACGTGTGACTGTTCAGCATGTGGTTTAGGCCGAGGCCCGCCACCGCCTTTGGGGCGCTGGGCGGGGGCGTCGTGGCCGCCCGTGGCTCTCTGGGGGCAGCGTCTGGCTGGGGCGCCGCTCGGAGGCACGCTGGAGCCTCTTCGGATGCCTCTCGGCAGCCTCGTGGGAGCGTACCTCGACGTATCCGGGCCTTTACGCAGGTGCCTCCTGGAGGGCTCTCGGGGCTTCGTGGGAGCGGCTCGAGAGGCCTCTGGGGTGCTCTCGGAGCTATTCTGGAGGGAGTGGCCCGACAAGTCAGTTCAGATTCCCTGTTTTAGACTGTTTTGGGAGCAGCTGGGGCTGGTTCGGGCTTCTCTTAGGGGTCTCTTGGGCCGTCTTGGGGTCCCTAGGGCCGTCTCGGGGCGAACTTGGGACGATCTTGGGAGCCCCTTGGGCGACTTGGACACGTTCAAGACGCCAAAGGCGTTTGTGTTGACGACGCAGGGATTGGGACTATTTTTGTTTCTTGGGGCCTCAGCCCTATTGGGGCGTCTTTGAGGCCCCGCGGAAGGTCCGGAAACCATATTTGTTAGTTATGATCCCTCTTCGGCGCGTTGGAGGCCAGCTGGCGTCATCTTGGGTGTCTTTGAAGGCGCGGAGGCCCCAGGGGTGCGTTCAGGAGCCCGCCCCCCCCCCTACCCCCCCCCTCAAACGCGATTTTGGACCCTGCGGGAGTGGGAAAGTAGGAGGGGGACAGCCACATGTTTCAAGCGCCTTTTTCACCACTGGCAAACGGGGGGCGGCGGATGCGGACCGCAACGTGGGGGCAATACACGTCGATGGATCGAGGATTGTAGGGAACGAGCCCTACAGGGCCCCTTACACTGTTACACTGCCACCGCGAGCCCACAAGGCACACGAAGGGCGCACGTTTCTTCACCCCACTCCCCCCCCCGTTCGCGAACAGCTGAGGGTTCCTTGTGGTTCCTCGCGTCGCGAAGCCAAGAGAAAATTCACTGCGGATGATTTTGGACCGTTTTCCGCTTTTCGGGGGGCCTCTGTTGAGTCCTGGGACTGTCAGAGAGCAGCTCGGAATGAAAAGACGGTCCCTGGGGAACACGTGCGGGTATCCACGTCGTGCAAAATGAATCCCGAGGTCGGAGGTGTGGTGGGGAGGGGAGAAGGAAGAGACACCCCGGCATCCATCCTTCACCCTCGCTTTCACCTTGTGGGGGCCTCCTGGCGGCCCTCATCGCCGCGGCGATGCTTGTCCCGGATTCCTGGTCAGAGCGCACTCGTGGTAGGTCCGTGGAGCAGCGATAACGGTGCATCGCGTGTGTGTGTGTGTGTGAGTGAGATTTTCTACACCGTGTCGGTGCGCGCAGTTTGCGACGCCGATAGGTGCGTGCGTGTGTGCGTGCGTGCGTGCGTTTGTGTGCGCGTGCATGCGTGCGTGCGCGCGTGCGTGCATATCTGCGCGTGTGTGCGAGAGAGAGAGAGTCTATGTGTATTTGAATGCTTGTGTGTGTGTGAATGTTCTACACCGTGTCGATGCGCGCAGGTTGCGACGCCAATAAGGGCGTGCATGCGTGCGTGCGTGCGTGCGTTTGTGTGTGTGTTTGTGTGTGTGTGTGTGCGTGCGTGTGTGCGTGCGTGCGTGCGTGTGTGTGAGTGTGCGTGCTTGCGTGCGTGCGTGCGTGTGTGCGTGCGTGCGTGCGTGCGTGTGCGTGTGTGTGCGCGCGTGTGCGTGTGTGTGTGTGTGTGTGTGTGCGTGCGTGCGTGTGTGTGTGTGTTTGTCTGCTCTATGCCTGTGTATGTGTATGCGTATGTGGCAATACGGTCTGGTGAGGGGGAGGACGAGAAGGACAAGGACCAGTGTGAAGAAATGACGCATCAATGATGTTGTTGCGAGAATCCATTTGCTGGGTTCTTTTTTTCACAGGTCCTTACACACATTTGTTATCATGTTTAGGGGGTGCCTTGTGAGAGCGCATCCTTGTCAGGATCTTCAACCGTGGAAAAGAATTATTCCTTGATAGCAACTTCGCGAATCAACGTGACAGTTGCGCCCTGCCAATCGTCACTCATGCCAGAACACAATTCCTGCTCGGGCTTCAACACCGCGAATCAACGCGACTGTTGGGCCACAGCAATCCTAATTCGTGTTAAACAGAGATCGATCCTTTCGACTTCAACCATACGATGCCTTGGCACTGCTGCATTGTTTTGGACGAACATGCGCGGCGCTAAGGCGAGACAAACATTCTGAAAACGAACCGCTGTCTACGCCTGAAGCTGTTGCAAGCTTTTTAAACCAATCTGCGCTACGCTGAGGGGAGAGCCACATTTTGAACACCACCCGTTTCGCTTTTTTGAAACAGATGTGCACTTGTGACATGATTGTGCGCGGCGTTACGGCGAGAGCCACATTTTGAAAACTACCCGCCCTCCATCCGTGAATATGTTGAGCAGTTCCAAGCTCTAGGATCATAACAAGAGAGGAAGACTCAGGCGGCACGCCCGACCCGCCCTGCCGACACGTCTCGGAGTGCCACAGGGAGAAGTGATTCATAAGCAAAGGGATTGATGCATCTACTCCCTCTCTCTCTATCTATTTTTGAGGCCTCACGGCTGGTGCCGCCGACCTTGTAGGACGACCCGCAGACATGATGGGGGAGGTCGGAATGAGACGCTCTCGAGAGCTTCGGGAGCAGCACTGCTCGGCCTGGGGGTGGGGTCCTCAGAAGACTGCAGAAGCCCTGGCAGACAGGCCTTGACATCCTGCTACGCCTGCAGTTGCAGGAGGTGCGGAAAGGGGCGACACCGCCATCTACTCCCTCTCCCCAGATATCCGACGCCGTGATTTTTTTAATACCTGGTCCCCGGAAGTCTTGACCCCTTCCCCAGGACCGGTTTTTCATCCTGAGTCGCTCTTCGACAGCCCCGAGGCCCGGCGAGGGCCCCTGGGGGCCGAAATTTGCGAAACACCTCCGTCTTGATTTTGTTCCATGCGCTGGATCTCCTGGGGACACCGCCATCTACTCTTTCCCTCCCGTGCACCAGGGTGGGCCAGCGGGTCTAGAGACGGGCTCTCTCTGCCTGCGCCCTCAGTACTCGGCCCCGCTGCGGGCGGCCCTTGTCCAGTCACTCGGGCCTGCCACGTCAGGCCTGCCCGGGGGGACACGTGCCTCTGCCGAGTCGCCGTTGGGCTGGGCACGAGATCCAGAGTATTGTAAAAAATCAAGACAAAGGTTTTTCGCAAATTTCGGCCCCCAGGGGCCCTCGCCGGGCCTCGGGGCTGTCGAAGAGCGACTCAGGATGAAAAACCGGTCCTGGGGAAGGGGTCAAGACTTCCGGGGACCGCGTAGGGGCGTAATTTGTGAATGCCCCGTGGAAGATTCTCGAAGCCCAGGGTCCCAATTCCGGACGACGCCCCAGTCGTGCCGCCAGACAAAGGTGGGTGTCCCCCTCCCGATGGTCTTGTCGGGCGAGAGATAGGGCAAGGGTGGGGAAATCTGCTGCATGCAGCTGGTTTCGGCCCCGCCACCGGGCGCGTTCTTCGACAGATTTGCGCCTCTGGCGCTAGGAGGCGTCAGGGAAATCAGCTACGTGAGCCGATTCGCTAACCACCCCTCTGGCGTCAGACCTGGGATGGGTTCCGCTCTGAGGTTGCCCGCCACGAGTGTTCACCGGGCCCCGTCGTCCGAAACGACTCAGGGATCCCCCTCGGATCGCCTGATTCGATGATGCGCGCCGACCTATGCTCGCGGCACCGATCGGCTCGACTCCGTATGCCCGAGCGCAGCCCCTATCCCTCCAGGACACGGTTCGGCTCGACCAGTTCGATCGCGCAGGCGGCCCTGGGGTCCAAGGTCAGTTTTCCCCAGGACTACTCCTGTGCCTCATGGCAGGGTTTCTGCAGATGCGATTGTGTGGAGAAGGGGGCGAGAGAGAGGAGAAAGCCAGGGCGGGAAGTGGCCACCAGAGTCGGACTCGCACAGCCCAGGCCCAGACCCCCGGCTTCTTGATCCTTGTCCGGCCGTGGGCCAGAGAGAGATCTCGAGCCCACCTTCGCCGAGATCGCGAAAACGCGCCAACGATGCGAAGCCACGTCGTCGCAGGTTTGTGCCCTTCTCCATCCCTCCTTCGTGTTCCTCCTTCCTCCCCGCTCCCTCCTCCGCCGTCTCGCCCCCCCACGCCTCCCTCATCCTCCCTCCTCGTCCGCCCTCCCTCCGCCGTCCTCCCTCCCCCGTGCTCCCTCAAGCTGTGCTCCCTCAAGCTGTGCTGCCTCCTCCCCCCCTTCCCGTCCCGTTCGCTTGCTCTCTCGCACGGCTCCGGCGCCCCCCCGCCCGCAGGGGCAACGACGGGGTGGGGCTGGCCCCCAGGGGGTAAGCATCGAACCCCAACTGCCCATTCGCCGCCACTCGGGGCATAGTTACCCCGCCCAGCCGAGGAACGCGCGGTTTCGCCATCGAGGGGCCACCGTCAGTTGTGTCGGCGATGCACCACCGATCCCAAGCCAAGACGTTTCCCCCCCTGCCCTGCACCAGCCCCCACGCGCATGCGATGTTTCTCTTTGTTCACTCTACGGGCTCCCCCCAGGCCCCGACCTTCTCCCCGCAGGGCCGGCTCCTCGTCCCGCGCTGCTTCTGCACGGCCCCGAGGCCCGACGGGGGCCCCCGGGGCCCGGAGACGGCCAAGTACCTCCTGTCGTGATCGGCTCACGGCACGAGCGTCAAAAGTCGGGCCTGGACGCATATGCAGAAAGAGTCAAACGATACTCTGGCAACTATTTTTTTTACGGTTTTTGCTTATTTCTTTGGGGGGGGGGTACTTGTCGCGTATTTCCCATTCGTCGCCCAACACTCCCCTGCATGGGGGGCGCGCCCGACTTCGCACGAGCGAGCCCCCCCCCGCAGCTACATGCCCCCCCTGCCGCCGCCCCCAGCCGAGTCCGCCGTCGCCGCGCCCCCGCTTGGCGAGCTGCCGCCGGTGCCCTGGGACGGGGCCGGCCGGCCGGCCCCGGGCTCTTGCCGGCCGGCGGCGCAAAGGGGCCGACGTCGTCCCCGGTGGCGTGCTCGCGTCATGGCCAAAGCCGATGCCGATACCGACCCAGACATGGCGGCGTCGTAAAACATGCAGGACGGGAGGCCTTGCGCTCGTTTCGGCCTTCGGGGGCCCTCGCCGGGCCTCGGGGCCGTCAAGCAACGACTCTCAGGACGAGAAGCCGGTCCTGGGGACAGGGTCGGGGCTTGTGGGGACGCCGTCCTTAGAAAATCAGGACGTCGCATAATTGGGGATACAGCTACCCTTTGTTTTCTGTACTGGCGTAGCGACTTCGGTTTAGCAAAGTAGAGTGCCTTATCACACTTATAGATGTAGCTGTCTCAGATGCAAATGTACTTACCGAAGCCGCAACTATACTTACACGGTGTCCCTAACCATACTTACACAACAATTTATAATCGACATATAACCATCTTATAACTTTCATAACTTTCATAACTTCTTCAATTTCCATGCCCCTCCCCTCCCCTCCCCCCCTGTGGTTCGGTAGTGAGCCAGTAGGACGGCGAGAAGAAAGGAGGGGGGAAGGAGGAGGACAGCGATGCATTCGCTAACGCATTCCTGGGTATGAGCGATAAATTCGCTATGTGGTTCTCTGAGCGATCAATTCGCTGTGCAATTATCTGAGCGATCAATTCGCTATAAGCGATGAATTCGCTATGTGGTTCTCTGAGCGATCAATTCGCTGTGCAATTATCTGAGCGATCAATTCGCTATAAGCGATGAATTCGCTATGAGGCCCCTGCCCATGCCGCCCCCACTGCGCCATCATTCGAAGCCGTTTGCATACGCAAGCCCGCGCGTTTTTTTTTGGGTGGGTGGGGCCGCATAGCCATGGCTGCCCAGCGCTTGCGCGACCAAGTCGAGGCCGTCGGGCGATTGCTCGAGGCAGTGCAAGGGCAGCCCTGTTTCGATACGGTGGCGGCCGCGCAGGAAAGGATGCTCGTGCAGGCTTTCGGGAGCGCGAGGCTGCAGCCCACGCAGGTGACAACCCTCTCGTCTCTCGTCGCAGCGCAACCCTGGTCCGAGGTTTCCAAGGGGAGGCTGTTGGAGAAGCTCGGCAGCATCGTGGCTTCTGGCAGCGCCGTGGGTTTGCGAATGGCTCAGCAGGATTATGAGTGCATCTTCGGGTACCTGACAGCGGGCTCGTGGCACCAGTTGGCGCGGACCGACGTGCCCGAGGAAGCGAAGCTCAACGTGCTGGTTGATGTTGCGATTAGCTTAGGTCTTCGCAACCCGACCGAAGGCACGTATCAGATGTTGACGGCGATGTGGCGCATGGCCGTGGACGGAGCCGAGACCGCGAAGAATTTGGCGTGGGCTGCAAAGTACTCGTACCTCCAGCAGACCAAGCGCGTGTTCAAGCGCCAGGCTGCAGCTGAAATTGCGGCCCTCGTCGAGGGGAGGGGGACCTACGAGAAGGGAGGGTGGGGGAGGAGGAGGAGGAGGGGGAGGAGGAGGAGGAGGCAGTTTCCCCTGGCCGCAATTTCACCCACGAAGGTTTCGAGGCTTCCTGCGCCCCCCGTTCGGCTGACCGAGCTGCCTACGTCCCCCTCGACGTTCTGCGAGGACCACCCTGGCTTCTTCAAGCAAGTGCATGGCGACGAGTTGCCAGCTGCATGCCCCGCGCCAGAAGCCGCGATTCGCTCCGTCCAGGCTACGTACCCATGCCGCAACACAAAGCAGCAGGCCACGGGGGCGCAGATGATGAGCGCCTCGGCGTCGCAGCCCGACGTTTTGCAGATGATGCAGCTCATGTTCGATAACTTGCGGCGGGCGGACGTCGGCGCTCAGACGGGCCCTTTGAACCTCAAGATCCTGGGAGGCGGCGCGAAACGTGCCGCGGCCTCGGCGTTCGCAGCCGTGGAGGACGCTGCCCCGAGTTCTCTTCCATCTTCCGCCTCAGAAGGGGCACCGTCGCCAGCAGCGCCAACGCCACCGTCGCCAGGGACGCCTGCAGCAGCCAGCGTCGCCAAAAAGAACGTGACTCCCCCCGAGAAGGAGGACGTCGCCTCGGTCACCGAGGACATCCTGCACGGACTCGCGGCCAAGGAGAAGGGGGGGGGGGGCCGAAGCCGAAGGCAAAGGGGAAGGCAAAGGGGAAGGCGAAAGCAAAGGCGACGAAGGCTGGGGCTAAGACGACGGGCGAAGGCCACGGGAAGGGCGTCACCGTGTCACCCCTGTTCAAGCCCATCAAGAAGCTCGGGTGTTCGAAGTGTCGTTACGCCAAAAAGGGGTGCTCGAGTTGCAAAGAGCGGCTCAGGATTTCAAAGCTGCTGGGTAAGTAGCTCATAATGTGTGTAGGTTTCCTGAGGCGCTCTCGGCCGCGCTGGGTCCGCCACGCACTTTGCCAGATGTATTTCGGCCTGAGCCGTGCCACACGCCGCGCGCTCATAGTCATGCTACGGTGTTTCGGACAGAGCGTCCAATGCATTTCGCTACCGCGCTTCTGTATATGGGGCCCTGGAGAGCGCATCCTAGCGTTTGGGTAAGCCGCGCGAGCGCCCCAGGGAACCCTGCCGCTCACTTTTACTCTTGTGAGGGCGTGCCTTACCGTTGCCTGCGATGACAAAAAAAAACAGCGATCCACTCGCTAAGCGATTCATTCGCTTGGGGATAGACAGGGTGAGAGGGGTGAGAGGGGAGAGTGATGGACCGCTGACTTGGAGAGGGGTAGGAGGGGTGAGAGGGGTGAGAGGGGTGAGAGGGGAGAGGGAAGAGAGGAGGGTGAGAGGGGAGAGTTATGGATGAGGCCTCGACCCCTCAAGCCAACCCCCAACCCTGCGTCAGCGATGCATTCGCTTTCCTCCGACCTCCCATCGAAGCAGCGCTCCCTTCACCTCAACCCTGTGTCAGCGATGCATTCGCTTGCTCGCGGAGCGCCCCTGCGACCGTGCCTTCGCATTGCCATTTCGGCTCAAGGCCTCGGCTCAAGGCCTCGGCGGCCGCGCCAGCGACAATGGCCGACGACGCGGAGAGGTCACTGCAATCGTTGCTGTCTTTGGGCGACCCCTTTGCGCAGTTCCAGGATGGGGCCCAGGAGAGCGGGGGCGCTGGCAACGAATCGCGCATGAATCCAACCTCAAACTCAGAGCCCCGCATGAGTCCCATCTCAGACTCAGAGTCCGAGGGGCGGAGCGCCGCCGACAAGGGCAAAGGCTGCAAGGGCGGGTGGCGCGCCAGCGGCAAGGGCGAGCCCGACAGCGACGGCGACGCGGAGAACCCGAGGCGCAAGCAAGCGAGGATGACCTTCCTGTGGAACACCCCGCAGGCTCTCAAGGACGAGGAGGACATGGCAAAGCAGTTCGCCGTGCCATGGGCCATGCGCGGCCCGCCTCCTCCAAGCGAGGGGGGGCCGACGATGTGGCGCGGCAACAGATGGTCAGAAGGCGAGCGGCGTTGGAAGAAACGCGGTGGCACGTCCAGGGAGTTCTTCGAGGAGAAGTACGGCTACGGCGGCTGGGGCTGGCAAGCAGGCCACGTGCCGAAGCGGCCTTCGGACTACAAGGGCATGGGCGGCGGCAAGGGCGCCTCTTCCAGGAGCGGCAAAGGCCAGGAGCAGAGCAAGGGCGGCGCCTTCTCCGAGCGCAGCAAGGGCGGCAAGGACGGCAAGGGCAGCAAGGGCAGCGCCCCCGAAGGCACGCGGGCGCCGCGGGCGCAGGCCGCCTGGGACCCTCATGACCTCGAGGACATTTGAGAAAAAAAACAGCGATTGACTCGCTATGCAGTTCACAAGCGATTGAATCGCTATGCAGGTCACCTCTCTCGTCTATCTCTCCTCTCTTCGTCGCGATCCAGGCCAAAATCCCCACGCCGCCCTCCGCCGCGATCCAGGCCAAAATCTCCGCGGCGATCCACGCCACGGGCGCCGTTCGTAGGTCAAAATCTCCGCAGCGACCCAGGCCAAAATCTCTGGTCTCAGTTTTTGGGCGGGCCCTTTAGGAATTTACTGACGCCAAAAATGGGTCCCAGATTTGGCGGTCCCTTCGTGGGATGTTATTGACGCAATGAAGGCCCCCAGATTTGGCGAGCCCCTCGTGGGAAGTTACTGGCGCAAAGAAGTGCCCCAGATGCGGCGGGCCGTTCTCTCCCCCCTTCGGTCGCCTCGGCTTGCTCGACCTCCTCGCTCAGCCCCCATTCGATGCGTCGGCATCCTTGCACCCCTGCCCGTTGCATTTCCTCTCAGCGATTGCATTCGCTCCATGGGGCGGGCCGCGCGAGTAGTCATCTGCATTCGTCTGGGCTCAATCTGTTTAGAACGGTTTTCTTTCTCAGCGGCCAAGGGCCAAGGCGCGCTCGGCGGGCAGCGATGGATGGGCCGTCGGAGGCCGCGAGTTCCAGCGGGAGTGAATGGCTGTGGCGCGGCTTTTGCCCTCGCGGCGATTGCAAGAAAGCTGGCTCGTGCATCTTCTCGGACCCTGACAGGGACATCGCGAAGGAAAAGGTGGCGAACCACTTGTGGTGTTCTACCTACCACAACGAGGACAACGCCCTCGAGTGGGAGGCGGCGTTGCAGGAGGCAGACAATGACGCGTTCATTGTCTACGAGCTGGGCACGCAGAAGAGCAAGAAGCGCCCCGCGCCATCCGTGGAACCGCAGCCAGGGCGGGCCGTTCAACAGCGGTCTTCAGGACCAGTCGGCCAGTACAAGTCGAAGACAGTGGTGACGCGGGACATCACGGTGCGCAAGGGCGAGCTGCAGCAGGTCATGGATTGCCTTGACAGGTCTCTGACTGCGACGGAGCACGCCGCGACCATCGCACGCAGCGCAGCGAAGGCGTTCGAGGACAGCGCTGCTGCGATCTCGGGCGCCAAGAAGACGCTCGAGAGCATCTGCATGCGCCACGTGGGCTGAGCCACTCCAAGACGCGGCCTGCTGCCCTGCGCTCGGCCTGTCTCGGGAGCCCGCCGATTCTTTGAACAAATAATAGCAC